TAACATATGTTACATTTGACCACTTTCTAAAATGGCATAGTGTTGTCCAACTTATAATCCCAAATATAACATATGTTACATTTGACCACTTTCTAAAATGGCATAGTGTATTTCATAGCTTTCGGCCGTGGGAGCCGTGCCAATTAACACTTATCAGAGGGGTACACAAAGTCCGCAGTCTAGACTACCAGTTGTCCAACTTCCATATTTGTGGAAGTCGCGGTGGCTGAGCTGTCTAGGCGTCTGACTTTGTTTGCTGGTGATTAGGTGCCTGTCTCTGAGGATGTGGGTTCAAATCCCGGATGGGACTCAACCCAAAACGTACTAGAATCTGTACTTTACTAAGAAAGTGTAATCCCAAATATAACATTTGACCACTTTTCTAAAATGGTATTGTATATTTCACATATTATAGCACCTCATACATTTCCCAACACTTAGTACAGATACAACGCCATCATATATCCTTGTTCTTTTTCTTTTCTATGATACTTTTCTCTCTTGTTCCACACTGATATATTTTGTATAATTACTAGACAGGTAGTATCCATTGCCGATGACTGAACGTACTGATCGAAGGGAGATAACTCTCTCTACTTACCACTACTCCGAAAAGGTCATGAATTGCTTAAATGTTTTAATAATCTACTTAGCGTGAAATTGTAGACCAATTTCATCCCATGGGGATTGTAATTGTGTTGATTCTGTAGAAAGGAATAATAGATAAATGGTGTCTGTGCTTGTTGTGTGCAGCGTTCGAAATATTATATAGATCGCTATATAATAGCGTTGGACATGTTGTTGCATTTTGATATTGATATTTTGCAGGGCCATTGAAGTATGATGTGGGGTAGCAACATTTTTACTTAACTGGCCCTCCTGGCAAGTGACTTTTCAAAATTAATTCATACACTGTTTTGTGTGTATCTGTCTCGTCAGCACAAGGCTTGTGAAGCACACGTAAAATACGCCTCAAAAAATGAGACATACAACCTTACTGATGACAACTTCTTATTTATTCATTTTTGACTCACCAACTTCTAGAATGTCGATCAAACAATCAAAATACGCCTCGTTTCTCGGACTTAGACTCGGAGCCTGTGTGACTTGTTTTTATACTGTCATTGTGTGTTGCATGTATACAAAGTTGCACTGTATATAATTGTCTATGTAAACAAAAGATTACTAGAATGTAGTAAATTGGTTAAGATGTCCGCACATTTTTGTTGTGTATTTCGTAAAGTAATAAAAACTTGTTAGTTCCTCTTGAATAATTTAAAAATATATTGGTTTAAACTAATAATAATTATGAACATTTATAATGTTTTTCGTTGAATAGTTAGTGAGTGAGTGAGTCAGTTTACTATTACGCCGCTTTTTGCAATATTCCAATATTACATCAGTAATGGGCTTCACACATTGTACCCATGTGGGGAATGGAACCCGGTCCTTCGGCGAGACGAGCGAACCCCTTAACTACTAGGCTACCCCACCGCCCCTGTCTGAGAGACTGTGTATTGAGTCAGCTTGATTCGGTCGAATGGACCTTCGACTTTCTCCCGAAATCCCTCCACAAATACGTGTGATTTGATTAATGTTTGGTCCAATATCTCTTGGGTACTTGGGCACTGAGTCAGGAGACCATAAGCCGGGTCAATGGAATGTTAATCCTTGTACGGGGAGACTTGAGCAGTGAGGGTTTTATTCACCCAGAGCGAATTCCGACAGAGGACGATCATATATAGAAAATACTCCTCTTCAGCTGTGGAAGTGGTAATGTGTACTCAGTTCTCAAGTTGAGATGGGTTTTTTTATGGATGTCAACTTCTTTATTGTGAGGAACACAACGTCATTTCACCTGGTAAAGGAGTAAGGATATACTCCGAGGTGAGGTGAGGTGAAATTGGGTTTAACGTCGTGCTTGAGAAGATTTCGCTCACATGACGACGTGGATATACTCCGAAACGTTGTGTTCCTCATAATAAAAAAGTGGACACCCATTAAAGCTCTCTTCCTTATGTGTATCACGTCTAAATGCCATTCAAAGACCTTGAGATGTTTTCATCAGCTGATAGCCATTGGAGTGATAGCCATTGCCAGAACTTGGCCAAGGAAGACTGTACCATTCAGTATGAATACCAGCCAGTGAGTGAGTTATCGTTGAATAGCATCACTGTAGGTTTAATTACATTAAAGTTTTGGGTGTTTTCTTTATCATAGCAACTATTGGACTGTCTAGGTAACAGGAGTGGTCCTTATCCTTTTACAATCAACAGTGTAAACTCCCGGGAATTGGCTTTCAACGGTGATGGATAGTGTAACACATCCTATATTCCTTGACATGTAGTTAGGACAACGTAGTTCGACTCCCATATCCTGGTTCACCTGGTCCAAATATACTTACCATGCCAGACCACTCCGTCACTTACTAACTCATGTTACAGAATGTCAATATTGTACAAAACTGTCAAGATTTTCGAAAAATGGAATTCCATGTCATTTGCATCTCACCCCTGAATGAAATACTCGACACAAATAAATAAAACAATAAATATTTTATTCAAAACACTTCATCACAAATTCAAAATGTGTCATGATACAAGACATGTCGACTTTCGAGCGCTGGATATTCATCCTTGAACGAAGGCTGAATGGATCGAGTGCTCGACAACAAAAACATCGGTACAATCTTTAAGTCATATCCTGGTAGCAATGATGACGTCATAAGTGGACGGAGTGGTGGACGTACGGTCGGGTGGAAGACAGGAGGATGCTTAATGCCGGGCCATCGCCTGTTGTTGACTTCCACGGTCTAGAGCGTCTACTTCCTGTTAAATTAAAAATTCATTTTAATATTTAAAATTTTAAATCATAATTGACAAGTATTTTGAGCCAATCAAAGGCTCTGATTTCTGATTTTGTCTCGAAACTTTGACAATCATCCTTAGCCGTTACCATAACAATAACGGTTTATTGAACAAAAAATACTTATGATGTCAGTTATGAATATTTAAGAGTACTTATTAGTGACATGGTAATTGTGTTGGAAATATCCTTAGTCAGAAAATATGAAAAGGTCCATCTAATAAGCACGAGGCATGACATGGTTGTAAATGGAGGTCATAGCAACTAGCAAACAACCGCTGGAAGTGGAATAAGTTCTTTCAACACGTGAAACTCCGGACCTATTCAGCTGTGTGGAAACAAGCTGGGATAATCCCAGCGGCCAGGTCATACACTTAATCCTACTGAAACTGCAGAGCTCCACAACGTGTTTACTTCATTGTGGTTCAAATGAGAAATTATACACTGTACTTAACGCGCAAACCCTGTTTCGATTACGAAATGATTTCTATAGTATACTCATGCCAATAATGGTTGTCACCCCCTTCAATTTTTTACCGGAGAGGGGGTGTGGGGTGTGTGGGGTTGGGGGTGGGGAGGGGGTGACAACCATTATTGGCATTAGTATAGTTTGATATTAGACCTATGTTCAGTCTCTGAATATACAGCGTATATAATTTTGATAGTCACAAATAATCCTATTTAAATTGAAAAGGAGCCCCAGTGAGATCGGGGATCCTGAACACGAGGAAATCTAAAACTTGCTTTAAAAAAGAAAAGGCTGGGCAGTAGTGAAAATAATACGGTTCAGGGACTGTCAGATAAACTATTTTGATATGTGAAAACACGCTTAACCAGTGAAGACCATCTCTTTTTCAGACACCACAAATACTAATATGTTGGGATTTTTAAAGAAAAACAACAAACTTGCTTTGTATTTGTCTGGGGTATATAATCAGTAATCTCTTGAGGTTCTGGTATCAGAACCGATTAGGAACAATTCCTTTTGTGGTAAGAATTACTTGTGCCAGTGAAAAGTTACCTTTCGGGAAATGGTTTGCCATATGGGTGGTGATGAATATACGTTTCAGCGCGCTCTCGTGAAATAGACACCGGAGAGTGTCTGAGATGGTCAACACCCTATTAAAGTTGTATCCTATAATATTTGTTTATATCCTGGTAGGGCGATATGTGTGCCATTCTACCTAAATATCCGTCTATTTGAACAGGTTCGTATTAAATAAACGCTACATTAGGGGTGTGGATGATGATGAGGAGGATGGTGATGATGATGGTGGTGATAGTGATGATGATGATGATGATGATGATGGTGATGATGATCCTTCTTACCTGAGCTTCCTGTATGAGTGAGCAGATTCCACAGAACCAGTGCATGATACAATCGTTGCAGAACTCGCCCTGAAATACAAACGAAGTCATTAAACATCCACATCCTGTCAACACTCATATTCCTTGATAACATGTCTATTACAGTTTGATTGACATCACAGTAACGTTTGAAATAGAGCACAATTGTTCGGTAGTCTGTACATAAGCATTTGTCAGACAACATCGTTTGGACAGCGCAAAAACAACGCTCAAAGAGAACTATGTTACTATTCTACTCACTGTTTGCTAAGGATCACAAAAATTCACAACTTCACTTAAACGTAGATGTATACTTTCAAATTGTGTCCATTTAAAACTGGATAGATAATAATATGGTAACCCCTCTTTAGGCAAACAGCCACTATAATTTAACCTTATACACTTGATACATGAGTAACCATAAAATGGCTTTCATGGCACCAATCAAACATTTTGCAAATCATGGAACGAGTCACTGGCAAGTACACAACACCTGTCAATAGCAGGTATGGGTTCCAAAAGATGAAATGACATACTGAAACCAAGGATCCATGCTTACAATAAGCTTAGATATTTAAACCAAATTTGACCCCACATCACAGTTTTCTGTTGAGTCTTTCGATTTAAACCTTAGCAAAGTGTGAATAGTATATATAACATACCCTGACTTGTATATTGATTTCTGATGACTTCTTTGAGTGGCATTTTAAGAAGTTGGAGAGTCAGATACGGACAAACTTTATTAATGAACAACTTCTTTATTCAGGTGATGTAACGTTTGGATACAGAATCTTGTATCGTTGTCAAGCAAGAATCTGTGACGTTTCGATACAGAATCTTATATCGTTGTCAAGCAAGAATACAGATTCTTGTATCGTTGTCAAACGATTCTTGTATCGTTGTCAAGCAAGAATCTGTATCGATCCGCCTGAATAAAGATGGTATTGATCCATACAGTTTGTCCTTATCTACTGGTTTCTGATTTATCGATTTGATTTATATACAATAAACATGACACTTAAGTGTAACGAGCTTTAATGCTCTTCTGTATAGCGAAATTGAACATGAAGGAACGCAGCTGCTGCAAAACGTCTGTCTGAAGCATTATACATGTACTTTACCTCGATTCCTTTGCTTTCCCTGACTTTGGCCCTGGTTTTGGCTCTCGTGTAGATACCGATAGGTCCCAGGACGCTTAAACATCCATAGGTACAACAGTCATCGCCTGTCTTCTCTGCAATCTTTCCTGCCGTGTAGCAGGGTACAAAATAGGTTATAATGCACAACCCGCAGTCATTGAAGCAACCAAAGAGACCGTTTGACCACTCGCCCATTTTGATGATTTGTCAGAGTCCGTGTCGAATACTGGCTATGTCTGAGGGTGTTCCGTGCGGGTGGTAATATACCTTCACAATACAATGCCGTTGCTAGGGGTGACTGTCAGACTAATACCAAGGATTGGGTTCTAGGGAATGTTTGGATACAGTTGTTCGACTGTTGTTGCAAACAAAGCACAGGTTCAGATGGACACACCTGATTACCTTAAGACCCCTTTGACCTGTAACCAACATCCGTGGAGCTTTCGGCCACGCGGGACCTCGAGGCGGTTATCTCCCAATTGACAGACACCCAGTTGACAGACACTGAACTGGAAGGTTAATTAGGGTAACACCTACGGGTATAATGGAACAGTCCACTGTGTAGTGAGTCGATCAGGGTGAGCATGGAACAGGTTCGTTACTGAGAAGTTTGATTGTGGGTAAATAGAACTTTGTTGTGATAAATGATTTGTCTTCTCAAATTGATTTTACTATAAATTACTATCAAATATAAAAACAGCTTTGCCATTGAGAGGTTTGATTGTGTTTATTGATAGAAAAGACCCCTTCCAATAGTAGCATATGTACAACAGAAGTTAACTGAGAAAACGTTTTGTTGGAGAGATATAGATATGTACATATTTGAAAACATTCTGATTTGCAGTAAATGAGACACCTGCATTGCCATGTAAGATACGATTAATACTAATCAGTGTTTTAATTTTAACAATACTTTCTAAAGATTGTAACAGTTTGTGTCTTTGAGTAGTATACAATGGACATTCAAGGAAGTAATGAAAAACATTCTCACATCCATGCCCACATTGACATGATGTGTCATATTTCAAATATTTATCCTAAACAAATCGTAATTAAGTGCACGTGTCATGTATCTTAATATTGTGTGCAAAACATATAACTTCTTTATTCCATATGAATAATATTTAGGTTCACATTTGTCCATTTGATTTATATGATACAACAGTGTCGCAATTTCCAATAGCTAAGCTAATGTTTTCAATATGATGATGCCGACTCCCGTTAGACTAGAAGGTTAAACCGAAAGGTTTATGAAAATAAACTGTTTTTATATTGCAGTAATAAAACAATAAAAATTTAAATTACTCTCTTTTCGTCCATCTTTCAAAATATATAACATAGCTTCAGTTTGTTCCTGTGTTTTTATTTGGACTATTCCATTATAATGTGTAGGTAACAGGTAGTAGATACTCTGTTCACTGAACCGTAAATGTTGTTGTTTTAAGGTGTCTGCGAACTGGCTGTCTGCGTAATGGGAGGACACCCTCGAGGCCTGTGGACAGTCAGTGGACCTTATATCCCATTACATCATAGCTTTGAAGATTATATTGAAACCTAGATCTGAGCTGATCTTAATCTTATGGAACAGTGAGCGAGTATGGTATTAGGATGCAATATTCCAGCAATATAGTGGCGGAGGACACCAGAAATTGGCTTCAAATATTACACCCATGCAAACGCTTTAACCACTAGGCTACCCCACCGCCCCTTATGGAACAGTAATTAAAAGAGAGTAAGTGAACATTATTTCCGTTACATCACGTCGTGTTATGTACGCGTTAATAAGGTTATTAAGGTTTTACCACTTTGCTCCGGTTTATAACGACGATGGGGGAATAGATAATTTGTGGGACTTCGAACCAACAAACAATTTCATGGCACACCAAAGCGACACAATGACAATGGTGTTTTTAATAATAATAATAATAATAATAATAATAATAATAATAATAATAATGCTAATTTTTGCGCCTAGAATCCAACGCGATGCTGTTCTCTGGCGTTACATTATTACCCTGACGGAATTGTACTTTCAAAGCTGCTACTAAGCGCTAAGCGCGACCGTATAGGTCCGTACATCCGCTTCTCAGGTACCAATTTTAAACAGCTTGGTGGACTGAGTGCAATATGGACGAAGTGCCTTGCCCAGGGACACAACACAGTATGAGACCCAGGTCACAAATTTTGGTGTCTCCACCGGGATTCGAACCCGGGCCTTTGGCGTGAGAGGCCAGCATGCTAACCACTACACCACTGTGCTCCACAGCAATAAACATAATGACAGCAAAAAAACACTTTCTGAATGTTCTTTAGACGTGTAGCGGCGCGGATGGTCCCATGGGCACGCCAGACACTGTGTTCGAATCCCCGATTGCCCCGATATTTCTTTGCACCATAAAACTGAAACGTACGTAACCTCTCACACAATCTGATAATAAATATACTTTTGACAAAAGGCATCCACCAAATCTAAATTACACAGTCACTCGTTTGATATACCCTAATGGCGAAAACTGCTATCTTATTACACCCGTGTAAGTAGATCTAAATATTATATAGATCGGTATATAAAAAATGTTAATAGCGTTGCACATGTTGTTGCATTTTGATATTGATATTTTGCAGGGCCAATGAAGTATGATGTGGGGTAGCAACAGTTTTAACTGGCCCTCCTGGCAAGACACTTTTCAAAATTAATCCATACACTCTTTTTCGTCAGCACAAGGCTTGTGAAGCACACGTAAAATACGCCTCAAAAATGAAACATACAACCTTACTGATGACAACTTCTTATTTATTCATTTCTGACTCACAACTTCTAGAATGTCGATCAAACAATCAAAATACGCCTCGTTTCTCGGACTTAGGCTCAGAGCCTCTGTGACTTGTATTTATAATTTTTTTATTTGTGTTGCATGTATACAAAGTTGCACTGTGTATATTGTGGTATTGTTTATGTAAACAAAATGTAGTAAATTGGTTAAGATGTCTGCACATTTTTGCTGTGTATTTCGTAAAGTAATAAGAACTTGTGAGTTCCTCTTGAATAATTTCAAAATATATTGGTTTAAACTAATAATAATTATGAACATTTATACTGTTTTTCGTTGAATAGTTAGTGAGTCAGTCAGTTTAGTATTACGCCGCTTTTAGCAATATTCCAATATTACATCAGTAATGGGCTTCACACATTGTACCCATGTGGGGAATGGAACCCGGTCCTTCGGCGAGACGAGCGAACGCCTTAACCACTAGGCTACCCAACCGCCACTGTCTGAGAGACTGTGTATTGAGTCAGCTTGATTCGGTCGAATGGACCTTCGTCTTTCTCCCGAAATCCCTCCACAAATACGTGTGATTTGATTAATGTTTGGTCCAAGATCTCTTGGGTACTTGGGCACTGAGTCAGGAAACCATAAGCCGGGTCAATGGAATGTTAATCCTTGTACGGGGAGACTTGAGCACTGAGGGTTTTATTCACCCAGAGCGAATTCCGACAGAGGACGATCATATATAGAAAATACTCCTCTTCAGCTGTGGAAGTGGTAATGTGTACTCAGTTCTCAAGTTGAGATGGTATTTTAAGGATGTCAGCTTCTTTATTGTGAGGAACACAACGTCATTTCACCTGGTGAAGGAGTAAGGGTATACTCCGAGGTGAGGTGAGGTGAAATTGGGTTTAACGTCGTGCTTGAGAAGATTTCGCTCATATGACGACGTGGATATACTCCGAAACGTTGTCTTCTTTTTAAAATAAAGAAGTGGACACCCATTAAAGCTCTCTTCCTCATGTGTATCATTTCTAAATGCCATTCAAAGACCTTGAGATGTTTTTATCAGCTGATAGCCGTTGGAGTGATAGCCATTGCCAGAACTTGGCCAAGGAAGACTGTACCATTCAGTATGAATACCAGTCAGTGAGTGAGTTATCGTTGAATAGCACCACTGTAGGTTAAATGACATTAAAGTTTTGGGTGTTTTCTTGATCATAGCAACTATTGGACTGTCTAGGTAACAGGAGTGGTCCTTATCCTTTTACAATCAACAGTGTAAACTCCCGGGAATTGGCTTTCAAAGGTGATGGATAGTGTAACTCATCCTATATTCCTTGACATGTAGTTAGGACAACGTAGTTCGACTCCCATATCCTGGTTCACCTGGTCCAAATATACTTACCATGCCAGACCAATCCGTCACTTACTAACTCATGTTACTGAATGTCAATGTTGTACAAAACTGTCAAGATTTTCGAAAAATGGAATTCCATGTCATTTGCATCTCACCCCTGAATGAAATACTCGACACAAATAAATAAAACAATAAATATTTTATTCAAAACACTTCATCACAAATTCAAAATGTGTCATGATACAAGACATGTCGACTCTCGAGCGCTGGATATTCATCCTTGAACGAAGGCTGAATGGATCGAGTGCTCGACAACAAAAATATCGGTACAATCTTTTTAGTCATATCCTGGTAGCAATGATGACGTCATAAGTGGACGGATGGGTGGACGTACGGTCGGGTGGAAGACAGGAGGATGCTTAATGCCGGGCCATCGCCTGTTGTTGACTTCCACGGTCTAGAGCGTCTACTTCCTGTTAAATTAAAAATTCATTTTAATATTATTTTTTATAACTCATATTCGACAAGTATCTTGAGCCATTCAAAGGCTCTGATTTCTCATTTTGTCTCGAAACTTTGACAATCATCCTTTGCCGTTACCATAACAATAACGGTTTATTGAACAAAAAATACTTATGATGTCAGTTATGAATATTTAAGAGTACTTATCAGTGACATGGTAATTGTGTTGGAAATATCCTTAGTCAGAAAAATGAAAAGGTCCATCTAATAAGTACGAGGCATGACGTGGTTGTAAATTGGGGTCATAGCAACTAGCAAACAACCGCTGGAAGTGGAATAAGATCTTTCAACACGTGAAACTCCGGACCTATTCAGCTGTGTAGAAACAAGCTGGGATAATCCCAGCGGCCAGGTCATACACTTAATCCTACTGAAACCGCTGAGCTCCACAACGTGTTTGCTTCACTGTTATAATTATACACTGTACTTAACGCGCAAACCCTGTTTCGATTACGAAATGATTTCTATAGTATACTCATGCCAATAATGGTTGTCACCCCCTTCAAATTTTTATTGGAGAGGGGGTGGGGGGTTGGGGTGGGAGGGGGTGACAACCATTATTGGTATGAGTATGGTTTGATATTAGACCTATGTTCAGTCTCTGAATATACAGCGTATATAATTTTGATAGTCACAAATAATCCTATTTAAATTGAAAAGGAGCCCCAGTGAGATCGGGGATCCTGAACACGAGGAAATCTAAAACTTGCTTTAAAAAAGAAAAGGCTGGGCAGTAGGGAAAATAATACGGTTCAGGGACTGTGAGATAAACTATTTTGATATGTGAAAACACGCTTAAACAGTGAAGACCATCTCTTTTTCAATCACCACAAATACTAATATGTTGGGATTTTTAAAGAAAAACAACAAACTTGCTTCGTATTTGTCTGGGTATATAATCAGTAATCTCTTGAGATTCTGGTATCAGAACCGATTAGGAACAATTCCTTTTGTGGTAAGAATTACTTGTGCCAGTGAAAAGTTACCTTTCGGGAAATGGTTTGCCATATGGGTGGTGATGAATATACGTTTCAGCGCGCTCTCGTGAAATAGACACCGGAGAGTGTCTGAGATGGTCAACACCCTATTAAAGTTGTATCCTATAATATTTGTTTATATCCTGGTAGGGCGATATGTGTGCCATTCTACCTAAATATCCGTCTATTTGAACAGGTTCGTATTAAATAAACGCTACATTAGGGGTGTGGATGATGAGGAGGAGGATGGTGATGATGATGATGATGATGGTGATGATGATCCTTCTTACCTGAGCTTCCTGTATGAGTGAACAGATTCCACAGAACCAGTGCATGATACAATCGTTGCAGAACTCGCCCTGAAATACAAACGAAGTCATTAAACATCCACATCCCTGTCAACACTCATATTCCTTGATAACATGTCTATTACAGTTTGATTGACATCACAGTAACGTTTGAAATAGAGCACAATTGTTCGGTACTCTGTACATAAGCATTTGTCAGACAACTTCGTTTGGACAGCGCAATGCCAACGCTCAAAGAGAACTATGTTACTATACTACTCACTCTTTGCTAAGGATCACAAAAATTCACAACTTTACTTAAACGTAGACGTATACTTTCAAATTGTGTCCATTTAAAACTGGATAGATAATAATATGGTAACCATTCTTTAGGCAAACAGCCACTATAATTTAACCTTATAACTTGATACATGAGTAACCATAAAATGGCTCTCATGGCACCAATCAAACATTTTGCAAATAATGGAACGAGTCACTGGCAAGTACACAACACCTGTCAATAGCAGGTATGGGTTCTACAAGATGAAATAACACACTGAAACCAAGGAACCATGCTTACAATAAGCTTAGATATTTAAACCAAATTTGACCCCACATCACAGTTTTCTGTTGAATCTTTCGATTTGACTGACTGACTGAGTTTGGTTTTACGCCGCTTTTAGCAATATTCCAGCAACATCACGGCGGGGGGACACCAGAAATGGGCTTCACACATTGTGCCCATGTGGGGATTCGAACCCGGGTATTCGGCGTGACGAGCCAACGCTTTAACCACTAGGCTATCCCACCGCCCCTTTCGATTTGAACCTTAGCAAAGTGTGAATAGCATATATAACATACCCTGACTTGTATATTATTGAGTTGTGATGACTTCTTTGAGTGGCATTTTAAGAAGTTAGAGAGTCAGACAAGGACAAGCTTTATTAATGAACAACTTCTTTATTCAGGTGATGTGACGTTTGGATACAGATTCTTGTATCGTTGTCAAGCAAGAATCTGTATCGATCCGCCTGAATAAAGATGGCATTGATCCATACAGTTTGTCCTTATCTATCGGTTTCTGATTTATCGATTTGATTTATATACAATAAACATGACACTTAAGTGTAACGAGCTTCAATGCTCTTCTGTATAGCGAAATTTAACATGAAGGAACGCAACTGTTGCAAAACGTCTGTCTGAAGCATTATACATGTACTTTACCTCGATTCCTTTGCTTTCCCTGACTTTGGCCCTGGTTTTGGCTCTCGTGTAGATACCGATAGGTCCCAGGACGCTTAAACATCCATAGGTACAACAGTCATCGCCTGTCTTCTCTGCAATCTTTCCTGCCGTGTAGCAGGGTACAAAATAGGTTATAATGCACAACCCGCAGTCATTGAAGCAACCAAAGAGACCGTTTGACCACTCGCCCATTTTGATGATTTGTCAGAGTCCGTGTCGAATATTGGCTATGTCTGAGGGTGTTCCGTGCGGGTGGTAATATACCTTCACAATACAATGCCGTTGCTAGGGGTGACTGTCAGACTAATACCAAGGATTGGGTTCTAGGGAATGTTTGGATACAGTTGATCCACTGTTGTTGCAAACAAAGCACAGGTTCAGATGGACACACCTGATTACCTTAAGACCCCTTTGACCTGTAACCAACATCCGTGGAGCTTTCGGCCACGCGGGACCTCGAGGCCTGTGGACAGTCAGTGGACCTTATATTCCATTACATCATAGCTTTGAAGATTATATTGAAACCTAGATCTGAGCTGATCTTAATCTTATGGAACAGTGAGCGAGTATGATATTAGGCTGCAATATTCCAGCAATATGGCGGCGGAGGACACCAGAAATTGGCTTCAAATATTACACCCATGCAAACGCTTTAACCACTAGGCTACCCCAACCGCCCCTTATGGAACAGTAATTAAAAGAGATGTGAGGTGAGGTGAAATTGGATTTAACGTCGTGCTTGAGAATATTTCGCTCATATGACGACGTGTATGCGTGTGTGTGTGTATGTGCGGCTGCTTGTACTAGCCCAGACTTAAGCTGGTTTTATAGTGCTAGCCCACTGAGATGCCATGCCCCAGTGAACCATGGATACCCCACTCAGACACATTATACTGACTCCGAGCCGACCAGTCCTTGTTGTACCCATTAATGCCGAGCGCCAGGCAGGGACCAACAAGTACCATATTTTAACGTCTTTTGGTATGACGCGCTCGGGGATCGAACCCGCGACCTTCCGCTCTCCGGGCAGACGCTCTAACCACTACAGCACGGAGGCGGTCAATTAAAAGAGAGTAAGTGAACATTATTTCCGTTACATCACGTCGTGTTATTTACGCGTTATTATGGTTATTAAGGTTGTACCACTTTTCTCCGGTTTATAACGACGATGGGGTTTATAATAATAATAATAATAATAATAATAATAATAATAATGCTAATTTTTCCGCCAAGAATCCAACGCGATGCTGTTCTCTGGCGTTACATTATTACCCTGACGGAATTGTACTTTCAAAGCTGCTACTAAGAGCTAAGCGCGACCGTATAGGTCCGTACATCCGCTTCTCAGGTACCCATTGTACAGCAGGGTGGACTGAGTGCAATGTGGACGAAGTGCCTTGCCCAGGGACACAACACAGTATGAGACCCAGGTCACAAATTTTGGTCCACCGGGATTCGAACCTGGGCCTTTGGCGTGAGAGGCCAGCATGCTAACCACTACACCACTGTGCTCCACAGCAATAAAATACTTTCTGAATGTTCTTTAGACGTGTAGCGGCGCGGATGGTCCCATGGGCGCACCAGAAACTGTGTTCGAGTCCCGGATTGTCCCGATATTTCTTTGCACCATAAAACTGAAACGTACGTAACCTTTCACACAATCTGATAGAATAAAAATACTTTTGACAAAAGGCATCCACCAAATCTATATTACACAGTCACTCGTTTGATATACCCTAATGACGAAAACTGCTATCTTATTACACCCGTGAAGGTCCGGGTTAGAATTGATCACCAGTAACCCATGCTTTTCGTAAGAGGCGACTAACGGGATCGGGTGGTCAGGCTCGCTGACTAGGTTGACACATGTCATCGGTTCCCAATTGCGCAGATCTATGCTCATGCTGTTGATCACTGGATTGTCTGATCCAGACTCGATTATTTACAGACTGCCGCCATATAGCTGGAATATTGCTGAGTGCGGCGTCAAACTAACCTCACTCACGAGTGTTTGATATCAGAATTGACTGCTGCTTGTGTAACCAGTGGCAGGTGTGGTCGGTACTTCCTTATGATGGTGCTGTGTCAGACAATTGTGTTTTGTGAAGAGGGTTACTGACGTCTGACAGTCATAAAAGGATCACGTCACGATCTATAAAAATAGATTGTTTTTGTTAGGACTTTGCTGCTAAGATATTGACGGACCAAGGCACGGTTGGTTTCCTGTTAAAGCAAGGGGTAAAGCAATTTCGCAATGATGACTAAGATTAATGTGGAGATTGCCCACATGACATAGACGTGTGTATGGAAGGTCATATTTATTAGCTACATCATATCGCAGGCCGGTGTCTCATTTGGCCTAGTGGTATCAGTTGCTACTCGGTGTGCAGCGTTGGGCCAGGTGAATCTTGTGTTTAAATTCCAGATTCGTCATGGCAATCCTCTAAAACGTCGTAGTGATATTTCGTCCAAACCTGAAGACGGTCGTTGACAAGGAAGGAAAATAACATTTTCTCTTTTTTTATGACGTGATTGGTGGTGTGGGAAGTAGTCGCTTCTGAAAACATATTGCTGCAATGTTAAGTCAAGATATTGTAAGTGAGTGGAATACTTGCATCGTTTACAGTCGTCATTCCAGCAGTATCACAACAAAGGAGTCACGCCGAAGACCCGGGTTCGAATCCCCACATGGGTACAATGTGTGAAGCCCATTTCTGGTGTCCCCCGCCGTGATGTTGCTGGAATATTGCTAAAAGCGGCGTAAAAATCAAACTCACAACAAAGGCCATCAGAAATTGGCTTAACACATTGTGACTGTGATTTCGGCGTAAGATAAAGCGTCTTTTGGAAGCTAGAACCAGAGATGTTCCTTTCATGATCTGGGCACAGGTACAGTGACACATTAATGATGTTGTCACAAACTGACGTAACGATACTCTGGTTACATGACGTATATATGGGTGGTGGGCGTTCCTTCCCAGGAAGGCCTGGGTTCGATTCCCAACATGGGTACAATGTGTGAAGCCCAATGTCTGGCGCCCCTGCCGTGGTATAGCTGGAATGGTAAAACCCAACTCACTCACTCACTCACACAATTGTAAACACTTCAGTGCAGTCTTATGTTACACACACACACACATACATACACACACAATCATGCATGCATGATACACCTGCTTGTTGACTGTGACCAGAGAAAGTGTTTGAATCACCCCTTTTTATTTCACCATTATGAATTATATTTGTTTAAGCAAACATATAATCCACGGCTATCTCACGCACATGAATGCCATAGATACGCCACGACTAAGACACGAAGGGAGAAGCACGATACCAAGGTTTAGCTTGAGGATGCAAGACCCGATAGTCTCCAGACATAACCCATGGGCGCTTTGTGTGGTTTTAAAACATTAATATGTCAAAGAAAACAGAGATACTTTTTGCCAAATATAGCTTAATGCAAATGTTTGCTTCTTCTTGTGTGTGAGAAGATGGAAAGTCAAAGAAGTTGTTCCATTTTGAGGTTTGAAGTGAGGCCGAACAATTTCAATGTTGCAAACAGGTTTTCATGAGGAAACTGAAGGATTGGTTATCTTTTCTATCAGAAGAGTTTTTAATGGTGGTTGATAAAAGCATCCCATGATTATAACGAACTGTTCAATTACGCATATAGCTATATACAAACATACACATTGTATGTCTATGCGCAAACATATATATTGTATGTATCTTCTTGTCGCGGGACAACATACTATCACAACGTATTGTTCCTTGAAAGTATAGTTAATGCACTATTGTCACAGAACGTGTACACATCCGATGAAGCGCTCTGAAAATATATACATCTTCATCTTGGAGTTTGTTTTGAACATTGCGTTTTACAGTCTTCATACACATCAACATGCTATCGTTTTTCTTAGAAATCAACCACAACTTTCGTCATAATGAAAACATGTAAAAATGATAATGTTTAAAGATAATAGATTGTTCAAACTAGCAAACTAATAGATTGTTCAAACTAGCAACAACTATGCCACATCAATGCTTCCTGGACCATACATCAAACATCAAAGCCAAAGAAGAACCAGTCGCGCAACAGATTCAATGGGCGTAACAGGCAAAATAACGGGAATTGATATGAATGGATCGCATGATGAATTAGATGTTATCTGTATAGTTGATCATAATAAGACTCCAAGGTATGACGAACATTGTCTACCTTTTTAATGATAAATAATTCACGCATTAGTACTGTTTGGAAAAGAAGAACTAAACACATTCACTGATTAAAATGTGATTTATATAGAAAACATATGTGCAAAAAAGTACGAACACGTAACTTAGGTAAAGTCTTGTATTAAACAGCCACCTATGTACATTGTGTCTTGTATACAAGTGTATGAGTGTGTGTGTGTGTGTGTGTGTGTGTGTGTGTGTGTGTGTGTAAGTATATATAATATGTATGTGTGTCGTGTGTGAGAGAGAGTGTGTGTGTGCGTGCGTGCGTGTGTGTGAGTGTGTGCGCGTGTGTGTAAGTATATATAATATGTATGTGTGTCGTGTGTGCGTGCGTGTGTGTGTGTAAGTATATATAATATGTATGTGTCGTGTGTGTGTAATTGTGTGTGAGTGTGTGTGTAAGTATATATAATATGTATGTGTGTCGTGTGTGAGTGAGTGTGTGTGTGAGTGTGAGTGCGTGTGTGTAAGTATATATAATATGTATATGTGTCGTGTGTGTGTATGTATATGTATATATATGTAAATGGATGTATATACACGCATATGTACCTATGCAGATGTGTGATGTATATTAGCAAACTTGAAACTAAGTGGCGAATGAAGAAAGACAAAAAAAGAGAGCAAATATCTGATTAGTAGCTAAAGCTGAGAAAGGTATCACTTATACAACATACACCTGTAATATATCATGACTTAACGCAGTACATGTTATTAACCATAACCATACCTTAAATGTATCCTTTTCTAACATATTATCTTGAATGTTAGCTGCATAACAGGTCCCCCAATGTAGTCTTTAAACACACAGGTCTCCAAAGATGATTTTATGTGAATTTTTGCTCGAAATTGCAAGTTTGTTTTACTCTTTGTCCCAGCATTGTACCGTTCACTGGACATTGTTGTATGCCAGCGTTATACAGAAAACAAACATCAATTTATTCCTGTCACTATATAATTTCCCCAAATTTCGCCATTATGTCTGTCCATCTGTCTGTAGTTTTCATTTTCAATTACAAAGTACAACCCTTTGGGGATTGCCACAAAAATTTGTTCTTGAGGACACTACAATTGTCGCCCGAAATAACAGTGATGTAATAATATCAGAGAATCAATTTCACACACGTACGTGCGCGCGTACCTACGTACGCACACGCTCATAGATACACATATGCACAGTCTCTCTCTTTCTCTCTCTCTCTCTCTCTCTCTCTCTCTCTCTCTCTCTCTCTCTCTCTCTCTCTCTCTCTCTCTCTCTCTCTCTCTCTCTCTCTATCTCTCTTCCTCTCTCTCATACACAAACATTTATATATATAACATATATACCAAGGAGTGAATCTCATGACTTGACATATAAGGAAGTACATGATAGCCATAATTCATTGAAATGTGCAATAAAGCAGTTGTACATACAAGTACCCCACAAAAGCTGTACATGGTATTGAAAATACATGGTGATATTGTGAATAAAGAAGATATCGATTTTGTTTACACTATTGTGATGCGGGTTTTATTTGAGACGGGAGAAACGCCCACAAAATGCACATATATGCTATCGTGAATGATGCAGTTTGATGACTGTTTGTTGAATGACTGGGTATTATCAATACTGATGGCAGACTACGTGACCCGCTCCATTGCATTTCGTCACACCTCTAGCATCTGGACAAGGCAACTGATATCATGATGGGTGTAATGTATATAGCCCTCATACAGTGTGGAATCAAACATACCTTGCACCAATAACCATGCAGTATGTTAGGCGGAAAAAAGATCAGCAGAACATGCATACATTAGATATCAAAGAGGAATTGGAGGAGATATATACGATATGATTGCGGTTGAATATTTTTAAAAACTGGATTATGATTGGGAAAAGTCAGAAAGTATTATTGAGAATTCTATTGTGACTAGGAAAAGTCAAACCGTATTACATGTATTAAGAATCGGATTATGATTGGGGAAAGTAAGTACGTATTATTCAGAATTGGATCAGGACTGGGCCATCCATCCCTATAGTGCGTTTGGCTCAAAATTGCAATCTAACTCAAAAACTAATAAACATATGATAATCAATGAAACGCTGATCATAATCAAAATATCAGACCAACTCTGTGATTTGTTTGCAGAATTTATGTCCTAAAATTCAAAAAGTTGTTTAACAAACGATCATTAAAATATTGACACAGTTCACTATTTGTTACGAGGGAGGAGTGCAGAGAAAGGGACAGCCAGGTGTTAGAGAAGCACGTGCACAAGTGTCGACAAAGTTATTGATTCATTAACCTGTGCTGTGCCGTCTCCATCCTTTCTCGCACACCCGGCTGTCCCTTTCTCTGCACTCCTCCCTCGTAACAAATAGTGAACTGTGTCGATATTTTAATGATAGTTTGTTAAACAACTTTTTTATTTTTAGGACATAAATTCTGCAAACACCTCTCAGAGTTGGTCTGACTTTTTCATTATGATCAGTATTTCATTGAGTATTTTATGTTTATAAGTTTTCGAGTTAGATTGCAATTCATCGGTCCGCTTTTGAGCCAAACGGACAATATATCATAACCGGGTTCAACGTATGAGACCCATCAGAATCAATTTAATGGAAAGGTTGTTGTCATTATCTGATACCTCAGTCGTACAGAGCATGCACAATATTCCTTAAAACTACTTCTGGTGTCGTTGACAACAAATCCTTAAATGTATCGTCTGGTCATTGTTTGGACGTCGTTGGGTTTATAATATCTCGATGGTGGCACATCACAAGTAAAGCAGTTGAGTCTAACAACAAATCAAACAACCAATCCTTCCTTTAACCTAGAGTCGTGTTGACATAATGATATTGCTCAAACCATCGCCAACACGTTCCCGTATCATTGCATCAATATCAATGTGTCTTTGTCCTCTACCATCATCAGGATCCATCTGCATATCACCATCAGCTAACTGCCCACCCTCATCAACACTTTCAAGATCATCCTCTTCGTAAACTTCACACTCATAGGCTTGGCTGTAACTCTCCTCGGAATATTTAGGTTGACCAAGCCCGTGATTTTTAGTTCCACTGTTATCAGGTTCTTGAACATGTCCGCTTCCTGCATTGTTGACTGCTTGCATTTCAGGGTCCGACTCTGCGACACTGTCTTCAGTATCAGGAACAAAGTCATTGGCAGTTTGGCTTGCCAGTTGCTTCGTTTGACCTTCATCGTCTTGACTGTCTGAATGCAGTTCAGATTCAGAATGACCATCCTCTGGCTTATTATCGTCGGTGGACGAAATTGACTTTTGGTCATTCGTGTCACCGTCTTCCTGCTGCGTGTCAGCTTTCGTTTCAGATTCAGAACGACTACCTTCTGACACACTGTCTTCAGTGACCGAGTTTTGTCGCACCAGTTGCTTAGTACCACCCACTTCTTGTTGACTGTCTGCCTTCAATTCTGCCTCAGAATGACGAGGCTCTGGAACAGCATTTTCAGCACTAAGATCAGAAGAAATGGCATCTTGTCGAACGAGTTCCTTAGTAGTATTTCCTCCAACGTCTTGTTGACCTCCTCCAGCCTTGTCCCATGGGTTATCCGTAATTCCTTGTCCTCCGACGCCCGTAATTCCTTGTAGGGATATGCTCGAGACGGTCGATGCTGATCTGTCAAGGCCCCCTGCCTTGCCAAAGGTACTCATCTGTCTGTTTGTCTCCCCGGACTCCTGTTTGATGCTTCTCCGTTTGGTCATCTCCAAGAGTTCACGATGTATAGAAATCCTCACGTTATTTGTGTCACCGGAATCCATCTTCTTGCTGGGCTGAGTACCGCCTCCAGCTTCAGGGTCCCTGCGGTGCTCCACGCCATTTTGCATCTCGGTATTTTCTGAAAAACGTTTATTGTACAGGTCAAATTTAAGTTTAAAGCAAGCTCATTTACCTTCAATTCAAAACATACCTTGACCAGGCAATGATTATTCATTCCTAAACGAGAGAACGTGGTGTCACATAGAACCATAATATATTGTATTTACTGAGAAATTATAAAACCCATTTAAATACATGCATAAACTCATATCACGGTGTTGGTTTTTATTGCAGTAACTGTTACTGGTTATGTGTAATTAGAAAAAAGAAATAATTTTACTTAAGATATATGTTCTTTCTTCCTTAAATACTTTTGATGGGAACTGAGAAAGTCCATCAATACCGCCCAGAGTAGTGCCCCTTTATATGTGTGCCTGATTTGCCACAATTATGATCTTTGTTTCGTTACCATAACGATAAGTAAACAATAAGTAGGGACGCGGTTTACACAAATATCTTTTATGTTGAGGTCGTCACCACAAAGAGAAATTGTCGTGTTATAACTGAAATAGTGATCGAAACAAGCGTGCTTCTCGCTCGGTTTTGGTAATGATGAAAGTTTAAATATCTACCTTTGTGAACCTGTACCGTTTCCGTGTCTCCGTCAGAGCTGTTATTGTCAAAGCTATCCATTTCCAGTGGCTTCGACTGTTTATCGATAGCAACAATAAGCTCACTAACATCGGCCTCCCGAAGGCTAGTCTTTTTCCTCTTTTTCTTCTTCTTCGTTGTGGCCTTTTCTTCAAGAGATGCAGACTGTTTCTTCCTTGGCTGCAAGAAACAGCTGAAAGACAAAGGAAAGCTTTAGCCTTGGGTAGCCTAGTGGTTAAACCATTCACCGGGTTCGATTCTGCACATGGGTACAACTTGTCAAGCCTATATTTCGGGTGTCTCCCGCCGTGAAGTTGCTGGAAAATTGCTAAAGGCGGTGTAAAAATAAACTCACTCACTCACTCTCAGTAACTTATTCATGAGGAAATCTTGTCCAGATTCAAGGGACGACAATGGGCGAAAAATATATCTTAAGTGTACACCACCCGAACGAAGCTATCTATTAGTTGTCAGTACCCTGGGTTACAGTAAGGAGCAAATGTCATCTGGAAGGGTTTGGAAGTGGGTTTGGCAGTTGCAGTATTATAACGGTATTCAACAATACATTAGTAGATAACATATTCAGCAATATTTCGTTATTCATCTGACATGAATCAAAGTATATGCTGTCTCTGTGCGATACTTCGTTGTATATGCGTCTTCTTACAAGCAGCAATAAGCAGCGGGGGTAGCCCAGTGGTTAAAGCGTTCGCTCGATACGCCGAATACTCGAGTTCGATTCCCCACATGGGTATAATGTGTGAAGCCCATTTGTGGCGTCCCCAGCCGTGATATTGCTGGAATATTGCTAAAAGCGGCGTAAAGCTAAATTCACTGACTCGTAGCAATGGCCTGATGGTGAGTGTACTTACACGTATATACAGATTGTGGCTATGGTTAAGAATGCCAGCACACCGCCGATGATCGCGACAGAGACAACAATGTTGAAATAGCTTGTGTCAGCGGGACCTACAGTAAACACAACAAACATCAGTATCAGTCATCAATGTAAATAATGTAATCAAATATAATATCATAATAATAATGGACATTAATAATGCCCCTTTATCCACGCAGGTTCATGGCGCTACAATAACATCAGAGGATATTATACAACAAAATATACATTGATCCACAGTTCCATAGACATGGAACTGCTTGTCGGAGAGATCGCTTGCCGATGGAAGTTATGCGGATCTTGGGGACTGTTAACTATGGAATACTGTAAGGGACATTCTCGCGATCTCGCATTCTCGCGATCTCGTCCTTTGGAAACAAGCTAAAAATGCCAAAAGTGCGAGATCGCGAGAACGCGAAATTTGGCAAAAATCTCGCGTTCTCGCGATCTCGCATTCTCGTGTTTTTGGTACATGGCACTTTTTGTCAAAAGTCGAGATCGCGAGAATGCGACATTTGTACATGCTGTCAAATCTCGCATTCTCGCAATCTCGCACTTTTGGCATTTTTATCTTGTTTCCAAAGGTCGAGATCGCGAGATATCCCTTACAGTATTCCATAGTTAACAGGAGCTGGTTCTGTGAACGAAGAGTTCTGTAAATGGTGGTTTACACAAGCGGGAAATATGTGTTGATATAGGTATATGGTTGTCATCATCTGAAAAACATATATTGCTTAAATTGACGTGTGAACGCCGAGACTGTGACATCTTCTTCTGGTCTTCTTCTGGCATCAAATACATATTGCTTATAGTATATTCCCTCTAGGATGTGAACAGTTTACAATACAGGGTATATCTCATACAAGAACAATACCGAAGGTAACTCAACCATGTTCCAAAGATGAGGATGACTATGGATGAGGATGAAGAGGTTGCTTTTAGCAATGTTCCAGCAACATCACGGCGGGAAATGGTCTCATATTCCTCTCAGTCTTCGGCGTCAGAAGCTTTAACCAATGGGTACCCCACCGCCCCCTTCCCTCCAGGATCAGAAGCGGGTACACACAATACGGGTACACATCGTACATACAAGAATCATTGGGACACACAACAATATTACAAGGGAATTTAGACATATTTTAAGTGTGACTATGGTCCATGATCTACTGTCAATTTTCAGTCACGTAATTAGGACTGTTGGCGTCAGTGACAATCATAAACGGCTACGAATGGTATTCATGTCAAATTTGAATTGAAAAAGAGGGTTTGGGAGGAATTAATGCAAACTTGTTGCCATCATATACTCATGCCAATAATGGTTGTCACCCCCCCCAACCCCAACTCTACACACACCTCACACCACCACCCCACACCCCCTCTCCAATTAAAAAATTTGAAGGGGGTGACAACCATCATTGGCATGAGTATATTTTCTGTCCGAATCTAAGGTCAGCTTCCTAACGTTTGTAACAGCAAGAGTTGCTTTGAGGGACACTTACCCGGGGTCACTCCTGCAGTTGTGGGACTAGAATGGGGTACTGGCATTGGACTTGTTGTAGATGTGGCTGTGGTTGTCTGTTGTGCTTGAGTTGTCGGGTTTGGTGATGATGATGCTGGTTGTGGTGATCTATCACTGGACATTGGGCTACTTGAATAGGAGGACATGGTATATGATCCTGTGTGATCAGATGACATCGTGTCGTTTGAAGTGAGAAATGATTCTGTTGTCACTGACGATCCTGTTGACACAGATGAATCTGTCATAACAGATGATCCGTTTGCCACAGGTGACTCGGTCATAACAGATGATCCGTTTGCCACAGGTGACTCGGTCATAACAGATGATCCGTTTGCCACAGGTGACTCGGTCATAACAGATGATCCGTTTGTCACAGGTGACTCGGTCATAACAGATGATCCATTTGCCACAGGTGACTCGGTCATTACAGATGATCCATTTGCCACAGGTGACTCGGTCATTACAGATGATCCATTTGCCACAGGTGACTCGGTCATAACAGATGATCCATTTGCCAAAGGGGACGCTGTCATAACAGATGATCCATTTGCCACAGGTGATTCCGGCATTACAGATGATCCATTTGCCACAGGTGACTCGGTCATTACAGGCGATCCATTTGACACAGATGATCCAACCAAAGGTTCCTGTGAAGTTGGGACTTGCGTGCTCTCTGTTGGCAACTGGCTTGTGCTCCTAGCTGTTTAAGTAAAACCAAGTGAATATCAGATTAGTTTAAAGTATTTTCGAGTAAATATGATATTACATCACCTTGGGCAATATTCCAGCTATATCGCGTTGGGATATAAGATACTGGCTTCACACATTGTACCCATGTGGGGATCGAACCATGGCTGCGGCGTGAAAACTCGGCCAACTCACCATCTCTATGGTATTTAAAAAGACATAGAGGCCGGATTAAGCCCAGGTTAAACCTAATCAAGTTCCATGAGAAACTTTAGGTGACTAACGAAGCAAGCTCAAAATTTACCTGAATTTACCTAACCATTACTCTATTATGTAACCACCCCCCTCATCTACAGCTCTACATAACAATAACTCCATTATGTTACGATCCCCCTAATCTACAGCTCTACCTCCCCATTACTCTATTATGTAACCATCCCACTGACTTACAGCTCTACCTCCACATTACTCCATTATGTAACCATCCCCCTAATCTACAGCTCTACCTCCTCACCATTACTCTATTATGTAACCATCCCACTGACTTACAGCTCTACCTCCCTATTACTCCATTATGTAACCATCCCACTGACTTACAGCTCTACCTCCCTATAACTCCATTATGTAACCATTCCCCTAACCAACAGCTCTACCTCTCAATTTCTTTTCTCTATTATGAAACCATACCCCTAATCTACAGCTCTACTCTTCCCCATTACTCCATTATGTAACAATCCCACTGACTTACAGCTCTACTTCCCATTACTCCATTATGTAACAATCCCACTGACTTACAGCTCTACTTCCCATTACTCCATTATGAAACCATCCCCCTAATCTACAGCTCTACTTTCTCCCCATTACTCCATTATGTAACCATCCCACTAATCTACAGCTCTACCTCACCATTACTCCATTATGTAACCAACCCCCTAACCTACAGCTCTACCTCCCCATTACTACATTATGTAACAATGCCCGTAATCTACAGCTCTACCTCATCCCCATTACTCCAAATTACTCCATTAAGTCACCACCCCACTGACTTACAGCCCTTTGTCCTCATTACTCCATTATGTAACGATCCCCCAAATCTACAGCTCTACCTCACCATCACTCCATTATGTAACCATCCCACTGACTTACAGCTCTACCTCATCATTACTCCATTATATAACCATCCCACTGACTTACAGCTTTACCTCCCCATTACTCCATTATGTAACCATCCCACTGAGTTACAGCTCTACCTCATCATTACTCCATTATATAACCATCCCACTGACTTACAGCTCTACCTCCCATTACTCCATTATATAACCATCCCACTGAGTTACAGCTCTACCTCATCATTACTCCATTATATAACCATCCCACTGACTTACAGCTCTACCTCACCATTACTCCATTATATAACCATCCCACTGACTTACAGCTCTACCTCATCATTACTTCATTATATAACCATCCCACTGACTTACAGCTTTACCTCCCCATTACTCCATTATGTAACCATCCCACTGACTTACAGCTCTACCTCCCCATTACTCCATTATGTAACCATCCCACTGACTTACAGCTCTACCTCCCTATTACTCCATGATGTAACCATCCCACTGACTTACAGCTCTACCTCATCATTCCTCCATTATGTAACCATCCCACTGACTTACAGCTCTACCTCCCCATTACTCCATTATGTAACCGTCGCACTGACTTACAGCCCCACGTCCCCAATACTCCATTATGTAACCATCCCACTGATTTACAGCCCTATCTCCCCATTCAGCAACCCTTGCTTGTCGTAAGAGGTGACTAACGGGATCGGGTGGTCAGGCTCGCTGACTTGGTTGACACTTCATCGTGCCCCAATTGCTTAGATCGATGTTCATGCTGTTGATCACTGGATTGTCTGGTCCAGACTCGAATATTTACAAATCGCCACTATATATCTGGATTATTGCTGACTGCTACGTAAAACTAAACTTCCTCACTCACTCACTCACTCACTCACTTCCCCATTACTCCATTATGTAACCATCCCACTAACCTACATTTCTCACTCGCTATTACTCCAATGCATACCCAATCATAAAACTACACTATTTGTATAAAACCATCCCAGTACCTGGTCATACCTTTGACATAATTTTCATACAACTACCCTGGAACCCAGTCATACCATTACCCTATTTTCATCAACCCATCCGCAACCTGCAATCAAATCATGAAAGGCGGATGATGTCACCAAGGGGAGACTTTATCAAACAAAAGAACCAACTTACCTTCAATACCGCTACATATACACACAACATAGAGGCATAGAAAACCACGTGTAGAGGCCATCACGGCGAGAGCAGACAGTACAGACCAATGGACGAATTTCGCTGGTTTGTCGGACCAAACGCCAACACGGAGCTACTTCTCACTGAAATAACTAGTTCATGTTTATATCAGTGTATTCGACACTGTACTATGTGTTGTATCAGTTGGCCACAGCTATAATTTTCCTCAATAAACCAGGCAAATATGACTTCCTTGGTCACAACTCGGGATTGCCGTGGATTCACACATTTATAATGCTTTGTTATGTGTACGTATTCATACGCTGGGTATGCTTACGTCATATATACATATATATTCAACCTAGGGATACGCCCTTAGGAATGGTGAATAAAGCGTCATGCCTTTTCTGAAACTTTAATTTTACCTGAAAATTATCGTAGCCAGGTAAACCCGCATTTCGTTTGACTGTCGACTCTCCCGCTATAGTCTTAACAACGTAAACCCGTGAAGATCTGGGTTAGAATTGGTCCTCAGTAACCCATGCTTGTCGTAAGAGGTGAATAAAGGGATCGGGCGGTCAGGCTTGCTGACTTGATTGACACCATTTGCGTAGATCGATGCTCATGATGTTGATCACTGGCTTGTCTGGTCCAGACTCGATTGTTTACAGACCGCTGCCATATAGCTGGAATATTGCTGGGAGCTGCGTTATTTAACAACAATCAATCAATCACAAACTTAGCCATGTAAATGACATTGTAGTAGATTAAGTAGTTTAAAGTGGCGTGAAGATACAGAATAACAAAAACAAAAGCGCTACACAATAACAGACCGCCTCCGTGGTGTAGTGGTTTGAGCGTCCGCCCGGAGAGCGGAAGGTCGCGGGTTCGATCCCCGACCGCGTCATACCAAAAGACGTTAAAATATGGTACTTGTTGGTCCCTGCCTGGTGCTCGACATTAATGGGCACAACAAGGACTGGTCGGCTCGGAGTCAGTAAAATGTGTCTGAGTGGGGTATCCATGCTTCACTGCGGCATGGTATCTCAGTGGGCTAGCACTATAAAACCAGCTTAAGTCTGGGCTAGTACAAGCAGCCGCACATACACATACACACGCATGCACGTCGTCATATGAGCGAAATATTCTCAAGCACGACGTTAAACCAAATTTCACCTCACCACACACAATAATAATTCCATGATAGAGTGTGCATTCGAATTTCATTCTCAGCTTCCCGAGATGTATACAACACTTGCTACCTTATGAGGTGGACAGTTAGATTAAATGACCATACAACACCTGACAAAAGGTATGCACAGGATATGTCAGATGACGATACTTCACACTTTCAGGTTTAGAACTGTTTGAATAACGCTGGAGATACACTAGGTACAGTTTGACGTTTCCATGCTAACATATGTGACTATTTAACATAAGCGAATTCGTTCCTCCACTGATAGACCTGCATGAGGAAAACTTGTTATTTGTCGTATTCGCTGGAGCATGTTTATCTCCTGGTTTACACTTTTTCCTTGTTGTCCATAGTAATATATACTCACATTATGGAACAAACTGTTCAAATCACCTTTACAAACGGAATACAATACCCCATGGCCAGTTACGTATGAAACACGATGTGTCATGTCATAATTGACTGGAATCCTGGTAGTGATTTATGTCTAAAGAAAAAACATGGTGAGGCTGACCATTTGATGAATCTGTATTTTGCAGATTTCGTAAAGTTATGTTGAAAAACAACAAATGATAATGACGTGACTGGTAATTTGATGAATCTGCATTTTGCAGATTTCGTGAAGTAAGGTTGAAAAAAAGCATGATAATGACGTGAGTGGTAATTTGACGAATCTGCATTTTGCAGATTTCGTGAAGTAAGGTTAAAAAACAACATATGATAACGATGAGACTGGTAATTTGATGAATCTGCATTTTGCAGGCGTGTGTGATTATTTGATCATTTTGCAGATTTCGTGAAGATATGTTTAAAACACATAATAGTGATAATGTCATTTGATGAATCTGCATTTTGCAGATTTCGTAAAGTGGAGTTGAAACGCGTAACAATACACGTATAGTGTGCATGAATTTAATATAATATGCTCACACTGATACTGCCTATTGAAATTTCGAAATTGTTTTCATTTTAACAGATACAATTTGGTAGTGACGATAATGCCATACAAGTTCTTCTATTTGGTGTTGGAGTCATTGACGGGATAGAACACTGACCCTTCATGGGTTTTGGGGTTTCAGCAACGAAATCTACTAAACCAACAAGGTCTTTAGACTTCCCACACTCTACATAAACTGACGTACGAAAGAAAGGACACACCTTGTGCTTGGGATTTTTTCCAGAAAACAAATATTTTCAAAAGTGTTTTGATAGTGACTTACAGGTCACGAATACTGTGAACGTGTTCCTGAAAACCACAGATATGATTTACAGTTTTGTACCTGGTAATGCGTCTAGTGGCTGCAAGAGTTGTATGCTCCCCAGGGAGTTGAGATTGACAATACGATGTGCCGTTGAGATTGACATCCAGTGAACGAAGGAAAAACAAAGCGCCTTTGAGCAGCTGAGCTGAGCTGGATATCGGCGCTATACAAATGTTAGTATGTATGTATGTATGTATGTATGTATGTATGTATGTATGTATGTATGTATGTATGTATGTATGTATGTATGTATGTATGTATGTATGTATGTATGTATGTATGTATGTATGTATGTATGTATGTATGTATGTATGTAATGCTGGTATATCCCAAAACTCATGATTTTATTGACACGTACATGCATGTTATGTGCCAGCAGTATGAAACAACTGTTAATTGAAAAGGTTTCTATGAAGCATTTCATTATAGATTTGAAATATGCTCTGGAAATATATAAATATTCAAAAGTAAAGTTTATGTATTTAGAAGCACTCATGTTAGATTTACAATAAATTTATAATTGGTAAATATTTGAGTTTTTAAATTTGGATTTAAAATACTCTATATAAAAGTCTCACTACACCAATATCAAAGTTTCTATGAAGCTTTTCGTTATAGATTTGTAATATGCTCTGGAATTATATATAGGTAAAGTTTATGTATGTAGAAGCACTCATGATAGATTTACAATAGAAAATATAATTGGTAAAAGTTTAAGGCTATAAACCAGTAGTCCCTGACCACGTGGACTTGTATGGTTTATGTAAAACCGTGGTTACCGAAGCTGAATAAACAAAAAAGTGATGAACTCTTGGAAAAACAAAACAAAAAACAACAACTGTTAATTGAAATTGTTTCCTGTTAAAGGCATACCTCAAGATGCCATTATTACGGGTAGTGGGGTTACAACGAGCAATTTGAATGTAACAGATGGGGTTTAGACCAGCCATATTGCCTGGGCGTTCAGCTGTACAATGGAGACCATCATCAGCCTGGGTACTCGCACCAACGAGATTGGCCAGACATCTGAGAGTCCCAGAACTGGCAGGTCAAGTTTGACCACCCGCAAGATGACCATCACCATTCTCCATTCTCAACCCGGTTGCTTGCAATGACGTCAACAGCGTTGGGTCACCGCATCAGCAGAAACTCGGTGATGAGACAACTGCATCCTGTCAGCATCCGGGTGAATCAACCATTGCGGGTCATGTAAATATCCAGTCACCATCATCGGAATTGTCCACGTTGCGCGAGGAACGTGAGGTGCTCGCAGCGTCACAACTGGCAACGGTATCAGGCGTTTTGACAACACGTGCACAATGTGTGTGACTTAAAAGCCACAACCAAAACTCTTTTCGCAATATTTACATTGTTTTGTGGAAAATAATCCCCAAAGCACCAAGTATAGACTTTCTTTCGTACGTCAGTTTATTGGTGCAGTTTGCTGTGCGGAATTACCTCCCTTTGGCACACCAGGAACCTATGGCCATTGGTTGTAGGTCCCGTTCGGCCCGGTTACATTACCACAGCACCATGCCAATGCTCCTGTGTTGCGCCACAGGGACAAATTTCTGAGACCTGAATGACTTCAGTGTTTCCTCGAACATTGGGATGTAGCTAGAACGCTGATTATGACTCCGTTTGAATTGACTCACGGTGACATTACTGAAATAGACTTCAAGCAGCTTATCAATAAACGTATTAATATGGGAGTGTCATGAATAACTTTATACATATTTATTCAACAATTATGTCAGATGTGAAAGGGTCGCGATATTCATGTCGTCATTCATTAATTTCAATACATGTAATTTACGACCCGTGAAGATCCGGGTTAGAATTGGTCTTCTATATGCCTGAGAAGCGACTAAGGGGATCGGCTGGTCAGGTTCGCTGACTTTGTTAACACTTGTCATTGTTCCCCATTTGCGTAGGTCGATGTTCATCACGGGATTGTCTGGTCCACACAGGAATATTTACAGACCACCGCCATATTAGATGAAATATTGCTGTGTGCGGCGTTAAATACCAAACCAACATGTATCTTACATTATATGCTTGTAGATGTTCATACAGAGTCACATTCCAAGGCGTGTTGTACCTGCATGCCATGGCATGGAGACATAGTATAGATGTTTCACTGTCACTATTACAATATATGTCACAATATGTTCCACTTCCTTCCCTTGCGAACGTTCCTCCATCACCAAGCTGGCATGCCCTGATAAACTAGCAACTTAAACACTGTTTACAGTGAGCGTTAACACACTTCCTCGTTGTACGCTGTCTAAGCACAGCGTTAGGAGACTATACAACTTTGTGGACAATTACGTCAGTGCATTTAGTGACGTTTCTATGGAGAATTTTACACCGTAATGAACCGAGCTACGTGATCAAAAACATAATAATTATCTTATTTTATGTAGAAGCGTTATTACATTTGCCTTGAGAACGTGAACAAGAACAGAACTAGCCAACGCTTACCAAAGACGGAACATTAAATAGCTCGGGTTAAACATTCCATATCAAACGAAACAGTGGAACAGTCTATTTGTAATGTTGGTCCGCTTAACGAGTACCTAACAATTGCACATAAGCGGCAGACAACAAGTTGCAATTTAACTTCACAGTGGGGCGGTGGAGTAGCTTTGTGGTTAGAGTGTTCGCTCGTTCGAATCCCCACTAGAGTACAATGTGTGAAGCCAGTTTCGCATGTCCTCCTCCAGGACATTGCTGGAACATTGTACTAATATTGTGAAGTCGATTATTCGGAAAGTGAATGGCTAGATTTAACCATTCACCATTAACCGAAAAGTAGGAGACGAATGACATCCATTATGTAGAGAAATTCGGAATTGACAAAATACCTTCAGTAACGTCTTATGAAACAGGTATGTAATATACGCTTCAGGGTAAAAAAAGTATTCTGTTTTTATTTATCTATGCAATATATATATATATATATATATATATACTATAAAGAAGCTACACCAGCGACTTCGTTAAATCTTTGGCCAATGTTCACAACTAGATTAAACTGACCGAATTACATCCATATTTTTGCAATGAAATATACTGTTGACATGCAAACATTTATAAGATAAGATAACACAAGTGATAGGATTTTTTCCAATGAACAGTACTTTGTATGTTTATTTCAAAACTAACACACATACACAAATGATCCCTTACATAACCAATACGTATACTATACGTACACGTATTCAACATTTTGAAGAAAACATCTATTGAGATGACCCCTCGCCCGAGCGTGTGCTCAAGTGTCAATTTCACCTGTCGATACCGTACATGCTGATGATGTAACACAGGCAGTTAATGTTTGTATCAAATAACGTCCCACTACACCTTACTTTATATGTAAAAACACATTTTAGGGCATGTCTCAAAATTTATTCCCTCGGTCTACATTAGGTAGATGTTTCTTAAAGTGATATTTGTTATTTAAGTAACTGTAATACCTCAGGATTTTAAATATAAGTCAAAAAGCATTTTTCTAGCATTTCCGACAGTACTTTAGTAAATAGGGCAAGGTTGTCCGTTGTCTGTTCAGAAGTCTGTCCGTCGTTAATGTGATCAGTTTTGGCATGTCCGCTAATACATATTGCTCAACTGTGCTTTAATGACCCAAGGTATGCTTTTTCTTTAAAAAGCTGTTCCCAAGAGCAACTAGGAAATGCTAAGATCACAATTGCAAAGACATTTAACCATATCATTATGAAACTTAACACACAGTAATTAGTAATTAGACGTGAATTACATGTAATTGTGTGTTGAACGAATCGGCAGATCATGTCTCTGAAGTCAGCATTGCAGCCATTACGCAAGGTGAGGTAAGGTGAAATTGGGTTTTACGTCGTACTTGAGAATATTTCGCTCATATGACGACGTGCATGCCTGTGTATATGCGTATGTGCGGCTTCTTGTACTAGCCCAGACTGAAGCTGGTTTTATAGTGCTAGCCCACTGAGATACCATGCCGCAATGAAGCATGAATACCCCACTCAGACACATTATACTGACTCCGAGCTGACCAGTCCTTGTTGTACCCATTAATGCCGAGCACCAGGCAGGGACCAACAAGTACCATATTTTAACGTGTTTTGGTATGACGCGGTCGGGGATCGAACCCACGACCTTCCGCTCACTGGGCGGACGCTCTAACGACTACACCACAGAGGGGGTCCCATTACGCAAGAGTTATGTATGTGTTATAGTGTTTTTAGGCAGGAACATATGTGCCCGTGTTTTGTTTATTGAATTTGCATGTTTCCACGACATGACGGGGTAGGATACGTTCGCCTTTCCTGGGATCATCACCAGTGGTTCATGCACACATGCTCATGACGTAGTCTGAATCGTACAATCCAGTTTGCTTTAACACAGATTGATTTGGAATAAATTTCTTGTTCCTGTTTTTGTTCTTGGTTATTAATATGGAAAGGGTTTTGTCTCTTAATTATTTTTCACTTAATTTCTTTATCCTTGTAAGGCCATTATGATCTAATATATAATTCCAGAAAGAGTGAGTGATTTGGGTTTTATGCCGCTTTTAGTAATAATCCAGAAATATCATGGCGGGGGACACCAGAAATCGGCTCCACACATTGTAGACATGTGGGGAATCGAACCGGGTCTCCGGCGTGACGAGCGAACGCTTTAGCCACCGCCCCTATTCCAGAAAGAACCAGTTGAGTTTTTTGACCGGTTCTATTGTAACTGAAAATTGTTATGTTTAATATACCGGAAGCAGTAATCTGTTATCAAACATGTTCGTATTTTCCTTGTAAATTCCTAGGAAAATGACTGAAACTGATATTTCTCAAATATACGACAAACAGATAATTTCCGTAGCTACTCTTATAATATCAAACCCACATTCTTTGGGATTTATTCGACTAATATATGTTATGATACTAAAGCTAACCTACAATGAGTCACGTGTCCTCTATGCTTTCAAATATCAAAAAACTCCTGATATCCAGAAATAAAATATATAAATATATCGCATATATGTTAATGCGTTTACCTTACTTTGAGTTGTACCTTGGACAGACTTTCTGTTGTGGTTTAAATACGATGTGTTAGTTGTCGAGAAATACTCATACCGTTATTCTCATAAGTTATTGAAGTATTTTCGGGGCCAGAATGTTTCAAAGACGCCGAATAAGTGTGTTTTCGATTGGAAGAATATCTTATCATCCGTAAATGCATTCATCTAAATTTTTCGTTTTGAATTAAGACAACAATGAATGAATAATTGCGCTACACTTTATTTACAGTACGTTTCTATCACGAACACAGCAATTTATGTACACAGATGTTTAGTAACATATATACCCTATCGTGTAGCTGAAATTATATACATTTAAATAACATAAATCTAAATACATATTTGTATACACATGGTTCATTGTGTACATTGAATATAAACATTTACGTCTCGTTTTACTTGAGAACGTGTATAGTTGTTCACATAACGTCTTACCAACGTTAGTAATATTCAACAATATAAAACTGAAACCAATCCAAACATGACAAGTAACGTAATGAGTTTCGACGAAATAAACATATATATGTATACTGAAGGAAACAAAAAAGGGAACACTACTTCATGGCGGTGTCCTCTATTTATTCTCAGATTTGCTCCCACAGCGCTACTCAAAGCTGGTGATGAAAACAGGAAAATATTAAAGGAACGCTTTTTTTAATTTCCTGTGTTCCTTTATTTGTTTCTCTCAGTATATTTCTGTGCAAGCATACTGGCCTGAAATGTGCATTTAACCTTGCTCATTTACAACTAATGTCTGCCATTTTGTAACAAAAATATCAAATTGTTTCACATTAACCATGGAAATATGAAAAGAAATTTTACTTTTTCATTTCATGCAAGATGAAGCAAACATTATATGTAATGTATATATATATATATATATATATATATACATGTAGGTCTGTCTGGGTACCATGTACATATCTGTATTGCTGCACAAAGAGGTACAATGAGGATACTATACAAACGATGGAAATTATATTCAAGTGGTTGTGAAATAAATCTTTTATCTGACGTACATCGGTGCTTATATTTAGTAGCTGATTTAGTTTTATCAATCACCGTCCTGCGTGGTTGATTCATACGTCAAGATTGACATCGTGCCAATCAAAAATAAGTGTATGCTCTTCTCAGAGGAAGTTGGTATTACAATCACGCTGAGTGAGTTTAGTTTTACGCCGCTCTCAGCAATATTTCAGCTATATGGCGGCGGTCTGTAAATAATCGAGTCTGGATCAGACAATCCAGTGATCAACAGCATGATCATCGATCTGCGCAATTGGGAACCGATGACATGTGTCAACCAAGCCAGCGAGCCTGACCACCCGATCCCGTCAGTCGCCTCTTACGACAAGCATGGGTTACTGAAGGCTCATTCTAACCCGGACCTTCACGTGAACACAATATTTGAGAGTACATAGAATGGCACATTCGTGTCTCGTCATAGCAACGCATTGCTGTTCTTGATTATGTTCTCGAAACACAATTACAGGGTATTTCGTGTTTTTGTCGAATTTCAGAAGACTTTGATTATGTTTCAGAGCGTGTGTCCAGTCACAGATAGACTCCATCTCCACTTGGTCGTATCTGCCTCATGTAGTGTATATTCTGTTTAGTTATGTTCCACGATGGCAAATGAACCCAGACAACAAATTTGATCTCTGATCCAATTTAGTTGTGAAGAAATTGTGATTAGTGGACTTATTCTCGTTCACAGTAGTGTTCCGGTGTAGAGGCAGATGGTTCTTTTGAAATATGTCGTGAACAGATGTTATGTGGTTTGTATTGAATTTTGTATTTATCTAACATGTATCCCATTCATCGGGCAGTATGAATCTAACTTTTTTGGAAACACGTTTTCCTCCATTAATTGCTCCAGTCTCCCTTTCTTTACATAATATGCCTTTAGTTGGTTGAAGAAATTGTAATCTCTCAATATAATCTCGCGCAAAACAATTATCAAGGACCTGTGCGCCTTCATCTTGAGAGTTGGAGCCAAATGGTCGAGAGTCCTCGCAACCCATTTCGTCAATATCACTATCATCGTTGCTCGAAAGCTGACAAGCAGCCAGTACCATTGATATGGGTTCATCTAAATCCATCCAACCATCATCATCATCTTCATCTTCTTCCTCCTCTTCTGTATCGAGAAACAGGATATCCCTGCTTCCGTCACAAAAGTCATTATTGTTCTCTGTCTCTTCATGTTCCTTATCTTCGTTTTCTTTCATTTTACCCTCTTGCTGTAGGTTTTCACCCACCATTTCGTTCTTCGCCTCTAGGTGGATTACACTTTCAATCTCTTCCTGAATTGCTACCCCATCTGATGATTGCTGTACCTCAGCATTACCATCATCATAATGATCCTTGTGTGGTTCTATTTGTGTACTTTTAGCGATATCCATAATCTGACTTTCAGTCACTGCAGTGTCATAGGGTTTCTCCTCAAAACTTTTTTCTTTCTGTGCTTCATCGACATATTTCTCTTGTTCATCACCGTCCATTTCTATACCTGCTTCCGCCTCGTCCCCTTTCAGTTGATCTTCAGCTCTAACAAAATCCTCCTGTATTTGTTGATCAGTTCCTGTTTCTGTCAATTCATCTTGCCCTTCCAGTACCTGTTCATTTCTTGGGATATCAGTTCTTGCTTCCTCGATTATCGTGTCTTTGATACTATCAGGATGTTCATCAAACTCTCCATCTGTCTTTACTTGCTCATCACTATTTTCTTCACCCTTCTCCAGTTCTGTTTTCTGTTCCTTGAGCTTTTCAGAGGATTTCTCCTGTGCTACCCCCTCTACTACCTGTTGTGCTACATCCTCTACTACCTGTTGTGCTACATCCTCTACTACCTGTTGTGCTACATCCTCTACTACCTGTTGTGCTACATCCTCTACTACCTGTTGTGCTACATCCTCTACTACCTGTTGTGCTACATCCTCTACTACCTGTTGTGCTACATCCTCTACTACCTGTTGTGCTACATCCTCTACTATCTCTTGTGTTACCTCCTGTGCTACTTCTTGTGATACATCCTGTGCTATCGCTTGTGGTACCCCCTGAGCTACATCTTGTGTTACCTCCTGTGCTACTTCTTGTGATACATCCTGTGCTATCGCTTGTGGTACCTCCTGTGCTACTTCTTGTGATACATCCTGTGCTATCGCTTGTGGTACCTCCTGAGCTACATCTTGTGTTACCTCCTGTGCTACTTCTTGTGATACATCCTGTGCTATCGCTTGTGGTACCTCCTGAGCTACATCTTGTGTTACCTCCTGTGCTACTTCTTGTGATACATCCTGTGCTATCGCTTGTGGTACCTCCTGAGCTACATCTTGTGTTACCTCCTGTGCTACTTCTTGTGATACATCCTGTGCTATCGCTTGTGGTACCTCCTGAGCTACATCTTGTGTTACCTCCGGTGCTACTTCTTGGGATACATCCTGTGCTATCGATAGTGGTACCTTCTGAGCTACATCTTGCGCTATCTCTTGTGCTTCTCCCTGTTTTACCACTAATGGATCCTCTCCTGTATCACTTCCACTCTTTACCACATCAGGCCGCTGAACGTCCTCGTTTCCTGTATCTTGTGTGTACATTACCTTTCCTTGCAAATCGTGTGGGTATGTGTGGTCATTGCCGTCAACAACTAGGTCATCTCCTTCCGCCGTATGTATCAATCCTTGATAGTCTACTCTCTCGCTACAATTCCCTGTTGCATCCTCATCAGCACTCTGTTTGTCTACAGAATCTGTTTCTGCTTCTCCTTGGACTTGCTTTTGGACTCCTTCTGTGTCTGCTTGGTGTTCACCGTTCATTTGGTGTGTGTGCAGGATTTCTAAATTTCCAACTGTATCTTCATCTTCAATCCCTTCCTGTTTTGTTGCGGTTACCCGTGGCATGGCTTCATCGGTTTTCATCCTGTCTAACTCTTGTTTGAGGCTGTTAGCGTGTTCTTTATTAACCTGCTCCTTTGCTGACTCTTCCATCTCGCTGTCATCACATTCACTGCTTTGATCATTATCTGGCTCATCAAATTCTACGTCCTCCTCATACTCATAAATGATACCAAGATAAGTCTTTTCCGGGGGAACATAATCAACCAAGTATGCCATAATGTCAATATCTTCCTCAGGGGATGTATCCTCTCCAGACGAATGGTAATCCGAATTGGCATCCGTTGATGGTGTTGTTTCTTGCAATCCCTGCAAAATGTCAAGCGATTCCAAAAGAACATTACTACTTGTTGTGGTAGTATTACTGACGGCACACCCGCTTGCTTGTTCTATATCCGTGCCTGTGTTTTGTAAGTGTGTTTCACCACTTTGTTTTTCTTCAGTTTCTGTTGATAGATTTTCCACAAGATCCATTTCACCATTTTTTCCACAACTGTCATCGTCTATTTGAGAATATAAGTCGAGGTAATGGTTGAAGGCGTGTGTCTCTATCTTTGGTGACACAAGGGGATCCTCGGTATGATTCGCCTCTTCAGAATGAAGATCCGATTGGCTACTGCCGACAAGACGTTCTACGAGTTTTGTTTTGGGCAGGAGAACATGTTCATTAAATGGTTTGCTTTTATGTTTAGAAACAGGACTGTTTACGGTAGCGTTATGTACAACTTTTGATACCACGCCATGATTATGGGGATACGATGTGCTGTCTTTTAAAGGATTAGTGTGATCTGATTCTTCAGCAATCCGAAATTTATCATCCCCAGTCTTTATAACCAGAGTGTATCCATATTTGTCATATAATAATTTAGGTCTTTTCAGCGTCCCAGTTGCTGGCTTCTCATTGGTATAAACCACACGAGTTTCATTCGTACTGATGCTATTACTAGAATGGTTTTCTACAGGTGTTGATTTATCATCTTTAACAGCAGGGGCATCACCACACCCAGGCCCTCCACGTCCTGCCTTGTTCAGGGTATCAGTTTCTTCTTTGTCACTGTTTGAAGTGAAATATGACAGATCCATGTATTCCGACTTTATAACATGTCTCAATTCTGTCACATTATTCTGACGCATGTCTTGGTTAGAAGGGTCTTGTGCTGTTTCCTCTAACTGCGAATTCTCAAGTGAGCTGTTTTGCACATCTGTACCGATGAAGGAGGTTTGTCCAGTTTCATCCAGAGACAACGAAGCAGAATTTGTCATGTTGGTATGTCCATCTGGAAGACCATCCTCCAAACTCACTTCAGAAGAGGACAGTTCTTCGCCACATCTGATGGTAACCACTTGAAACCTCACCCTGCAGCATCTAAAGGAAAGAATTATGATTAGTTTGAGATATTTTGGAGACCTTCACTTAAATGCATGCCTCATAAAACTATTAGTGACATCACTTCGGTATGACTCATGGTTTGTTTCAATCATAGATTTCCAACATATTCTGACACTGAGTAAACTGAAACAAAATAATTACCTGTGTGTACAGATGATGTAGATGATTATCATCATCAACACAATTCCACAAAGGATGCTCAGGATTATTATTGCAATATATTCACCTGAAAACAGGAAACTCAAATAAGCATGTGCTATTTTTACGTAGCAATCAACAGCTTGACTTAAACAAAATATGCTTCTTAACAAATTCATGCATCCTGAAAACTCTAAACAAGAGAAAATAGATAGTATTTAGATTAGTCCCCATTATCAAACTGGGTTCCGGCGACTCGGTTGTCTTTAGAGTAGCACTCATTAGTAAAATAGAAACCAGTGCTCGTTGACTTCAATACCTTGACTATTATGATTGGTATGCCTCCACCTTGCACAAATCAGTGGGTTTAACGGAAGGAGTAAAGGTTTAATCCTTGCATCACCCGGAACTTTTTCCCCTAATGACATTAGCACACCATGCAATAAATGAAATGTTTTTCCCAGCAGTGTAAGATCCAGTTCACTCAATCACTGTTTCTATAACATTCAGCAAACCGTTATGAAAAGATAGATGGCCGCGTACACAACCACACAACCACTAAATCACAGTATGTTGATACAAATAATCTGTAAATGAGATTTAGGGAAAGCATGGTATTTACCAGAAAGTGGTGGAGATTCTGTTGTCTCTGGTCTTGTGTTTTGGACGAGCTTCTCTAAGAACATGCCATTAGTATTGAGTTTTCTTGACACATGTTTTGTGGTAGCTGCGGATGTTTCCACTTGCGGTAAGGATAACGTTGGCGTTGGCGTTGGCGTGACTATTGATGTCAAAGTTGGAACAACCAATGGATGAACTCCTTTTGAAGTCCGTCTAATCAAACGATGACCTGGTTGTATCGGTAGTGTCGGGGTTTTATTGGCTGTAGATAGTGTAACAGATGACCATGGAGTTGGTAATCGGCTTGACTGTATTGCTGTCTCACCTGTAGGGTTTATTGACCCTTGAATCCAGCCAGGTGAAGATTGCGATGACAGTAATCCTCCAAACAGAAACTTTGGTTTCCCTATCGTACGTGTATAGTGCTTTATAGAAGGTACTGGTAGGGTCAGTACTGTAGATGAGTGTTTTATTGAAGATGTTTTCATCTTATCTTCTCTTAGGATGAAATAAGAATGAAATGAAGATGTTACTGGGTAGGGTGTTGTCACTGTGGGTGAGGCTGATACTGATGATGGAGTGTCCGTAAGGAAGGGTGATGGAGCCAGTGTGTTATCCCTTGATAAAACCACAGCGTTACTTGAAGAGCCGAACACAGTAGACTTGGATACCTTGGCTGATCCTGCAACAGTAATGTTGAAGTTTCTCTTTGACTGGAATTTTAGGAGTTGGCGAGAAATCATACTTTATGAATAATTACTTTAGTGCATTTACTGACGTTTCTACAACCAAGCACATGAACTACAAACATTTTGTGAGTATGTCAAATACCATTTGGTGTTCTGTTAGTGTTCTACAGGTTAGAATTGGTCTTCACTAACCCATGCTTTTCGTAAGAGGCAACAAACGGGATCGGGTGGTCAGGCTCGCTGACTTGTTTGACACATGTCATCGTATTGCGTAGATCGATGCTCATGCTGTTATCACTGGATTGTCTGGTCCAGACTCGATTATTTACAGACCGCCACCATATAGCTGGAATAATGCTGAGTGCGGCGTAAAACTGAACTTACACAATCTACGGAACATTTACTGTGAATGAATTTGGATTCTGAATAAGTATTTTGTGTGCTATGAGATGCATTGTCTCATTGTAGGAGAAATAACTCTAAAAATATCAGCCTCATCCCTTAAAGGGCGCAAATAGACCCTATTTGGGGTTTATGTCTCCCTTAAACTTCACCACCACCACCACCACTAACAACAACAACAACAACAACAACAACAACAACGTTAACACCGGTACCATCCTCATGCCTAATGGACTTAACTACATCCTTCATTAGGTGAGAATTACTCATCAACATAACTAGTTTTCTTATGATTATGTCTTGTTTAAACTTCCTCGAAGTTAGAGGTCTACACAAAACATTCAAAAAAGATAGTCTAGAAGATGACCCTAATATATCTATTATTTTTATACAGATCAAACGGATTGTAAGTTGTGTAACAGTTAGACGTTCTGATTGGTCGCTCGTGTCGTTTCATTGACATGTGGGAGGTGGGGTAGCCTAGTGGTTAAAGCGTTCGCTCGTCACGCCGAAGACCCGGGTTCGATTCTTCACGTGGGTACAATGTGTGAAGCGCGTTTTTGGTGTCCCCCGTCATGATATTGCTGGGATATTGCTAAAAACTCACTCACTCATTGACAGGTACACATTCACCCTGAACTGGCTGGATTTCATTTAGCCAAACAGACACTCAGTTGCATACTTATGCATATTTGAGCAGGATATAGTTTTCCTCCTAATCACGACACCATTTGATGATATAATTACAAATAAACTTTACTTTGATTTGTTTTGCTTTGTGAAGCAGGAACAAGAACGATGTTCTTTATGATCAAATAGGTGGGCTAATAGTCACGTGTGAATTCCACTAGTCCAGTCAGTTGGCATTAATGACTGACAACTAATACGTGCACACGGTGCAAATGTCAGACATGTGTTCTTCTATATGTAATAATTCTTTCTTATTCCTCTTTGCAACATTTGTATGTTCACACAGGAAACTGATATTCAGCTGGTAATCAAATAGGGGTGCTATCTACATGTCGACTCTTTCCTCGTTTGGGATACTTATCAGTATAATTCATTCAAATACATCGCAAATATATGTACACAGATATTAACTTTCAAATATATATATACCGTCACACCCGGGTGACACTGGACCATCTATACAAAACTGCAGCGTCACCGTGACACCATTAGACCACCTCTAGGTCACACCCGAGGTGACACTGGACCATTGCTATACATAACTGCAGCGTCACCGTGACACCATTAGACCACCTCTAGGTCACACCCGAGGTGACACTGGACCATTGCTATACAACATTGGAGCACCGCCGAATTACCACTAGACCACCTCAAGGTCACACCCGAGGTGACACTGGACCATCGCCACCTCAATGTCACACCCGAGGTGACACTGGACCATTGCTATACAAAACTGCAGCGCCACCGTGACACCACTAGACCACCTCTAGGTCACACCCGAGGTGACACTGGACCATCGCTATACAACATTGGAGCACCGCCGAGATACCACTAGACCACCTCAAGGTCACACCCGAGGTGACACAGGACCATCGCCACCTCAATGTCACACCCGAGCTGACACTGGACCATTGCTATACAAAACTGTAGCACCACCGAGATACCACTAGACCGCCTCAAGGTCACACTCGAGGTGACACAGGACCATCGCCACCTCAATGTCACACCCGAGGTGACACTGGACCATTGCTATACAAAACTGTAGCACCACCGAGATACCACTAGACAACCTCGAGGTCACACCCGAGGTGACACAGGACCATCGCCATACAACATTGGAGCACCACCGAGACACCACTAGACCACCTCAAGGTCACGCCCGAGGTGACACTGGACCATCGCCATACAACATTGGAGCACCACCGAGACACCACTAGACCACCTCAAGGTCACGCCCGAGGTGACACTGGACCATTGTTATACAAAACTGTAGCACCATCGTGACACCACTTGACAACCTCTAGGTCACACCCGAGGTGACACTGGACCATTATTATACAAAACTGCAGCACCACCGAGACACCACCTGACCACCTCAAGGTCACACCCGAGGTGATACTGGACCATTACTTTACAAAACTGCAGCGCCACCGAAACACCACTGGACCACCTCTAGGTCACACCCGAGGTGACACTGGACCATTATTATACAAAACTGCAGCACCACCGAGACACCACCTGACCACCTCAAGGTCACACCCGAAGTGATACTGGACCATTACTTTACAAAACTGCAGCGCCACCGAAACACCACTGGACCACCTCTAGGTCACATCCGAGGTGACACTGGACCATTATTATACAAAACTGCAGCACCACCGAGACACCACCTGACCACCTCAAGGTCACACCCGAGGTGACACTGGACCATTGCTATACAAAACTGTAGCACCACCGAGACACCACTAGGTCACTTCAAGGTCACGCCCGAGGTGACACTGGACCACTATTATACAAAACTGCAGCGCCACCGAGACACCACTAGGTCACTTCAAGGTCACACCCGAGGTGACACTGGACCATTATTATACAAAACTGCAGCACCACCGAGACACCACTAGACCACCTCAAGGTCACACCCGAGGTGACACTGGACCATCGCTATACAACATTGGAGCACCACCGAGATACCACTAGACCACCTCAAGGTCACACCCGAGGTGACACAGGACCATCGCCATACAACATTGGAGCACCACCGAGACACCACTGGACCACCTCAAGGTCACACCCGAGGTGACACTGGACCATCGCTATACAACATTGGAGCACCACCGAGATACCACTGGACCACCTCTAGGTCACACCCGAGGTGACACTGGACCATCGCTATACATCATTGGAGCACCACCGAGACACCACTAGACCACCTCTAGGTCACACCCGAGGTGACACTGGACCATCGCCTTACGACATTGGAGCACCACCGAGATACCACTGGACCACCTCAAGGTCACACCCGAGGTGACACTGGACCATCGCTATACAACATTGGAGCACCACCGAGATACCACTGTACCACCTCAAGGTAACACCCGAGGTGACACTGGACCATCGCTATACAACATTGGAGCACCACCGAGATACCACTAGACCACCTCTAGGTCACACGCGAGGTGACACTGGACCATCGCTATACAACAACATTGGAGCACCACCGAGATACCACTGGACCACCTCTAGGTCACACCCGAGGTGACACTGGACCATCGCTATACAACATTGGAGCACCACCGAGATACCACTAGACCACCTCTAGGTCACACCCGAGGTGACACTGGACCATCGCTATACAACATTGGAGCACCACCGAGATACCACTAGACCACCTCTAGGTCACACCCGAGGTGACACTGGACCATCGCTATACAACATTCGAGCACCACCGAGATACCACTGGACCACCTCAAGGTCACACCCGAGGTAACACTGGACCATCGCTATACAACATTGGAGCACCACCGAGAAACCACTGGACCACCTCTAGGTCACACCCGAGGTGACACTGGACCATCGCTATACAACATTGAGGCACCACCGAGATACCACTGGACCACCTCAAGGTCACAACCGAGGTGACACTGGACCATCGCTATACGACATTGGAGCACCACCGAGATACCACTGGACCACCTCAAGGTCACACCCGAGGTGACACTGGACCATCGCCAGACAAAACTGCAGCGCCACCGAGACACCACTTGACAACCTCAAGGTCACACCCGAGGTGACACTGGACCATTGCTATACAAAACTGCAGCGCCACCGAGATACCACTAGACCGCCTCAAGGTCACACTCGAGGTAACACTGGACCATCGCTATACAACATTGGAGCACCACCGAGACACCACTAGACCACCTCTAGGTCACGCCCAAGGTGACACTGGACCATTATTATACAAAACTGTAGCACCACCGAGACACAACTAGGTCACTTCAAGGTCACGCCCGAGGTGACACTGGACCATTATTATACAAAACTGCAGCATCACCGTGACACCACAAGACCACCTCGAGGTCACACCCGAGGTCACACAGGACCATCGCTATACAACATTGGAGCACCACCGAGACACCACTAGACCACCTCAAGGTCACGCCCGAGGTGACACTGGACCATTGTTATACAAAACTGCAGCATCACCGTGACACCACTAGACCACCTCGAGGTCACACCCGAGGTGACACAGGACCATCGCCATACAACATTGGAGCACCACCGAGACACCACTAGGTCACCTCAAGGTCACGCCCAAGGTGACACTGGACCATTATTATACAAAACTGTAGCACCACCGAGACACCACTAGGTCACTTCAAGGTCACGCCCGAGGTGACACTGGACCATTATTATACAAAACTGCAGCATCACCGTAACACCACAAGACCACCTCGAGGTTACACCCGAGGTGACACAGGACCATCGCTATACAACATTGGAGCACCACCGAGACACCACTAGACCACCTCAAGGTCACGCCCGAGGTGACACTGGACCATTGCTATACAAAACTGTAGCACCATCGTGACACCACTAGGCCACCTCAAGGTCTTGTTAC